ATCCAAGAGCTCATCAATCACAGGAATAGGATAATCATGTTTGACTGTTAGGCTGTTGAGGTACCTATAGTCAACACACATCCTCCAAGTTCCATCTTTCTTTTTGACTAGGATCACTGGTGAAGCAAAAGGACTGTGACTTGGGTGTATGATGCCTGAGTTAAGCATTTATTTAACCAACTTCTCAATTTCATTTTTCTGGGCATGGGAAGTTCTGTAAGGGTAGTGGTGCTTGGGCACACTTTCAGGTTTCAGGATTATTTGATGCTCAATGCCCCTCTCTGGGGGTAACCCCTGGGGTTCCTGGAAAACATCCCCAAAAGTGTCAAGTAACTCCTGAAGTATGGGTTCTACCTTGTAGCTTTCAGTTTCTGTAGTTAATAAATATAGGCCTTCAACTTGGTGGCAGTCTTGGTGAACCAACCTGTACAGTGCTTCTCCTGAGATGAACTTGCAATATTTGCTTGATTTCAGAGCTTGCAGTTTAATTCTTTTCCCTTTTAGGTTGACTGTGAAGGTCATTAGCTGGTAGTCCAATTCAATAGGAGTACAAGCCTTTAACCAGTCCCCACCCAAAATAAGATCACAACCCACATTCTGAAGTACCCTAAGATTGTGGGTAAATTGGTGTCCTTGCATGAGCCAAGTGAATCCATCCACAACTTGGGTACTAATCATTCTCTGTCCATTGGCCACCTTCACCATAATTGGTCTGGCAGCCTTTAGTGGACACCCCAACTTATGAGCCATGCCTTCTTGAATGAAACTCAAAGTGCTTCCAGAGTCAATTAATATTTGCAGCTTAGTTCCATCCACCTCACCATAAATCCTCATGGTAGTTAGTCCCCCTTCTCCTGCCAATGCATTTAGGGTCATTTGAACTTCCTCCATCTCTTCATGTACAGGAAATTGCTCCTTCACATCTTCAAACTCTAGGAATGAACTTTCTTCTTCCTCAGTCATCATCATGTAATTGATCCTGTTTTTGCACCTGTGTCCAAACACATAAGGTTCATCACAATTATAACATAGCCCTTTTTCCCTTCTGGCAGCCATCTCAGTTGTTGTTAACAGCTTAGTTGGTGGTTTATAAGGTGTCAATTGGGGATTTCCTTTGTTGCTGGTAGCATACTCTCCCTTTCTGCCTGAATTTGGTGTAGACAGAGAATGCTTTGGATAAGCTGATTTGGCCCTCCTCACTATGGCCTCCATAGTGCACAATTGTTTCCTGCCCAACTCAATTGTTTGCTGAAGAGTT